TAACGTTCAGAGTCTTAACGTTCAGAGTCTTAACGTTCAGAGTCTAAACGTTCAGAGTCTAAACGTTCAGAGTCTAAACGTTCAGAGTCTAACGTTAACACTAGTTAAATAGAAAATACACTTTCTCTGGCCAGTTTAAACTTTATCAAGATGTTTTGGGTCTTTTGCTCCGCTCAGAAAAAGACGAGCGATTCTGAAATGAGAACTGGGGAGGAACCGTTGTCAGAACCTGTCTCCTCTTCTCAGACCCGTGTCTGTACATCCCCCGCTTCGCCCAGATGCTGGAGTTCGGCGAGAAGAACCACGACGTTTCCATGACGGCGCTGCGGCTGGTCCAGAGGATGAAGCGGGACTGGATGCACACAGGAAGGAGGCCTTCAGGACTCTGCGGAGCAGGTAAACACCTGAAGGTTCAAGGGAGGGGTTAACGCTTGGTGTGACTTAAAACCTAATTAATAATGTCGGAAACATCTGAATCAAGGTGGAGGAGCCAGATGTTACCGTGTTGGACAGATGTTCATCACCACAGCCAACAGTTTGAGTTTTAGACCATCTTGCGTTGAGTCGCTCTTTTTGGAGGACTTCCTGGGATTATATTAACTGAACCAGATCTTTAATCTTAGATGGCTCATTTTCTTTTCTCCTCAGTTTTAGGCGAGATGACTGCTTCTGTATACTTTGTGCTGTTTGACGGTTCATGTATCAAACCGTTGTATTGTTCGATGTTTTGTTTATTTCAAAAACATCGTTCTGTTTGGTCTTTTTCAGCTGCTGGCTCTGTTTTTGTCTTTATTTGCTGCTTTTAGCTCCCATTTTCCCAACGGTACCATTTCCCATGTTTTAGCTGTTTTTAGCTTTTATACATAGTTTAGCTCATTTTTATTATGAGCTACAATGTGGCTACATTTAGCTTTTAGCAACGGTTTTGCTGTTTTGTAGCTTCTGTTTTGCTGATTTTACCTTTAAAAAGTTTTTTAAATTTTTTAATTTCAGAACAGTTTTCACGGGAAAGTTTTAATTCCATTTTATTTAAACTTTTTTCCCGTCAGGTTTTCTGAGAAAACAATTATATGAAAGTTTGATATAAAATAAGTTTATTTGAGCTGGTTTTCTTCTGAACCCTGGATTTGTTGAACCTGGTTCAGAGTCCAGTCCTCTGGTCCTCCTGGATCTGAGGTTTTATACAAAACGCTGGAGCTCCGTTCTGCAGCGTCCTGAACCGAAGCTGTCGAGGACCCCCCACCCCCACCCCCCCGGCCTGTTTATCCTGTTTGATTTTCTGCTGCATCACCTGAATAATTGATCGGTTTTTATTTAAATCATGGATGAGGGAAACCGGCCGAAGGAGCAGAAGTTTTTCCAAACATGATTTGAGTTTAATCTTGTTGCTGCTGGAAGTTTTCTTCACGAGGAAAGGTTGTAGTTTGAAATGAAGCGTGACGTAGTTGAAGTGATAAAAGTCTGGTCTCCAGGGCAGCAGCTGCGGAGCGAATCGGTTGTAAGCTGGCTGTGAAATGTTGGAGTCGTCAGTCAGAAGGAAGAAACAAGCATCCATCTTTTAACAGCCTCCTCAGCCAAGCAAGTCTAATGACGGTTACATAAGTGTTCCTGCTGCCCCCCCTCCAGGCTCCTGCGCCACCTCATTGCATAATGTTAGTGTGATTTCTTTGTAAAACTGTTTTTGTGTTAAAAACAGACAGCGCAGCGCTCACAGCTCCCCCCTCGGTGCACAAACAGAAATCAGCTCATTTATCGATACTTTAATCTGTAATAAAACATTCTCTCTGCTGTTTTTTTTTTAGTTATGGTTTAATAATTTTAATCATCTGATGGAAACTCGTGTTTTCTCGTTTGCAGCTCTTCTTGTCGCAGCTCGTTTCCACGACTTCTGTCGCACCATGAAAGAAATCATCAATGTCGTTAAAGTCTGTGAAGGCACGCTTAGAAAAAGGTACGTCTTTACGCTTTAAAACTCCAACAGAGGACCAGATTCACAAAGACTGTGCAGGACTGACGTTTTTTTTTTTTTTGCATCATTTGCTCCTAAAGCCCACAGACTCGGGTCAGGCGTGAGCAGTTTTGTAGTTTAAATTTGACCTTCTGCCACAAACAGCAGGAACAAAAGTGACAGGAAAAAGTTTTTAACAGGTGAAATTCAAACTGCATCAGAGAGGAAACACGTTGTGGATTTTCTGGCTCAGCTCGACTCCCTTCATCCTATTCCACCCGACTTGGGTCTCTCTGAATTCTGTCAGCCAGCACGGTCTGCAGCTCCTCACTGCACCACTGTTTAGACATTTTAATGGATGCATTTATGAAAAGTCAAAAACAAAAACGAACGCTGCATTGCGAGGCTTTAAAAATGGTGTGTTATATTCTTGAGCGTGAGACACTCGTCAATGTCCTGCAGTCCGCCGATGTCGAACCTTCAGCTCGACTCGCTTCAAACCTCGGCTGAGTCGGTTCCAGTAAACAAGCTGGAAGTGGGTGAGACCACACGATGGACTCAAACCTGCGCCGAGTCAATGAAAAGGGCCGTCGATCTTCACTGCATCCTCTTATTTAAAATTATAGGTGAGGGGAAAAGCTATCTCAAAATAATTACGTTTAAATTAATTATTTCTGCCTGGTTTTGAATTGAGGTTTGTTGAAATGTTCTGTAGTTGTAAAGTTTTGTGCTCTGAATGTAAATCAGCCTCTTGACACTTGTGGTGGTACAGAGGATGATCTTTCCTGACCTGCCTGTTTGTGAAGGTGTCAGTGCAATAAGTTCCTCCTCTTCCTCTGTTTTTAATTTTTTTTGGTTCCTTCTGAGATGCAGTTACCACCAGCTATCAGGAGATGGTAACTATTTTATGCGAACTGTGTCTTAAACACCTCCCGGTTTCTGAAAATGTTTTTTCCCTGGCTGAAGTTTATATAAATATGGGAGGATTTACAAAACCTTATTTAAATCAAATTAAATTAGTGCAGATATGCTGTCTTGATGGCGGCACAGTTTGAAGCATAGCTCTCCCTTTATGAATCAAACAGAAGCACTGGTTACATTTGTCACAGGATCCTGTGGTAGAACCAGGCATGAGTCTTTCCTGACTGTGTCTGGACTTTTGTTTCTGTTTCAGGAAAAACGGTCACTTTAAAATTTTAAATTGAAGTTTAACGACTTTTTTTAATCAGACTGAACGAGTTCAAGGACACTCCGACCAGCCAGCTGACGATCGAGGAGTTCATGAGGGTCGATCTGGACCAGGAGTGCGACCCGCCGTGTTTTACTGCCGGGCTGAGGAAGGCAAAACTCCAACAGGTTCAAGTTTGTTTTTTACTCATCGACATTTTCCTCATTCAGCCTCAGAACCTTCCTTTACTCCGAGACGATCCCTCTGATCTTCTCTCCAGGCAGTTCTGATCGACTGATTAAAAAAAAGACCTTCGCTGTGATTCAGGTTCTTGTTTTTTATCTTCACTCCAGCTGGAGACCGAGCTGAAGAAGAAGATCCACGACGTTGAAGGTGTGGACGGTTTTCATGTTGGTTTGCAAAGAGCACCTGGATTAGCTTATTTTAGCTTTTAGCTACAGTTTTGCTACATTTAGTCTGTGCGTTAGCTCGTTGTGGCAACCCCATAGAAGAGAGCGGGCTTAAGCTACAGCATAGCTTTATTAGCTACAGATGTGCTATAATTGGCCATTAGCTACAATTTTGCAACATCTAGTTAGCTTTAGCATCTGTTTAGCTCAATTTAGCTTTAGTATTAGTTTTCGTTTTAGCTAGGTAAACATGTACTGATATGTTTACTAATTTAGCTGTTTCGCTTGCTTCAACATTTGCTTTGTTAAACTTAGCTTTAGCATTTGTTTAGCTGATTTTAGCTTTAGCTGGTATTGCAAATTTTAGTTACTGTTTTGCTACCTTTGGTGTCTGTTAGTTAATTTTAACTACTCTTTTGTTTGTGCTTTTTTTCAGTCTTGTTGCAGAAATAATCCAAAACTTGTGATTTTTCTCTGTTTTTATGTAAAACAGATGAAATCCAGGAGTACCAGGATGAGATTGATGCCGAGCTGGAGGGCAGCCGACCCAAACTGAGAGGAGTCTACGCTGCCTACACTAAGGAAGGTGAGGGACCGTCCGGGAAACTTCAGACTGTCTAGACTGGTCAGGTCCAGAAAGTCCTGGCTTCACTGCAGATATTTGAACTTCTCTTAGATCCTCCAAAGACCAGACGGCTGGGCTGGTTTTTATTTTTTATTGTTGGAGGGGTGAGGGGGCATCATCCGGCTTGAAGTGGGGACCTTGGCAGAACTGACACCGGACTGTACGAGGCTCCTCTCTGAGGATGTTCTGGTCCAAGAGGTTTTGTCTTTAGATTTTAATCATTTTAAAGAAGGATCGTCTGATATCGAGTCTCAGTCTGACTCTGGCGTTTTTCAACATTAACTTTACAGAAGCTTAGCATTAGCATTAGCGTTAGCTGATGTTCTGACGGGCCCGTTACTAAACTGCTCTTTTTTTGTATTTTTAAAACACTTCCACATCACACGCACGTTGGCTCCTGCTGTTTACCTTGTAAGCTTTTGCGGGGTCGAACTGAGCGACGTTTCATCTCATATTCCAACGTTTCGTATCGTTCGATGCGGAGTCTGAATCTTTTAAAATGGCCTCCAGACAAAACTGGAATAAAAATTTTCCTCGTCATATTTTATTCTTGTGCACGGAGAATTGCTGAACCTTTTCGACCTGCAGTCGGCTGTAAGTTTCAGCGCAGGACGTGCAGCAGGAAGGTTTCAGTTTTCACACATTTTAAACGTTGGGCAGGTGAGAGAAGCTGCAGTTCGTTTCCTCCTCGGACTCTCAGACTCTTTATCTCCACCTCAGGTTCTCTTCACACCGAGCAGGTTTTCTGACCAACTTTAGTTCTGGATGATTATTAAAACACTAATGAGGACTGAAGATGTCTGCAGCTGATCCTCCACAGGTTCTAACATGATTTAAATCTGATCTCCACAGACCTTAAAAGCGAGGACCTTAACTCCACGCCATCTGAGGTGGCGGATGAAGACTCTGATGAAGATGATGAGCTCCGGGCCATAGCCAAACACTTTGGCAAAGAGCTGTCTGAGATCTCGGTGGAGGCCCTGATAAAACTGGAGAAAACAAGACCAGAGGAGGAGGAGGAGGAGGAGGAGGAGGATGCTCCACAGCAGAAAGGCCCGTCTCTGGATTTCATCCTGGGAACGATGCCCTCATCGGCCACTCTGGGCCTCTCCAAGACCTTCAGCAGCTGTAAGGACGAGGCGAATGGTGAGTACATCCGTTCTACAAACCACAGGTTGGGTTTGTCTCGGATCAAACTTTTCACCTTTAGACCCACAAAATAAAAGCTCGCGATCCAAACTGTTTTAGCTCCAAATAAACAAACTATGAAAGAACTGTTTCACAAAGAGCTGGATCAACGGTCTTCAACCGATCATGACTGCTGTTTGTATCATAACTTTTAATGCAGATCTGTGGCAAACATCTTTAAAGTTGATATGAGGACCCCTCCCTCGGCATTCCATGACCCATAGTGGGGTCCTGACCCATACTTTGGGAACCACTGTTGCAGCGTGCAGCTGCACCCGGACACAGCGGGACACCCCCTCGTTTCATCAGGTGTATAAAACATGAGAAGAGCACACGGGAGGGAGAACATGGCAGGAGAATCCTCACCGTGGACTCGGAGTCCTGCAGGAGGGTTTCCAGCAGTCCGGGTTCCGGTCTGTCGGATTCCATCAAACCATCTGATGCGAGGATTATTGTTCTGTTGTCTAAATATCTTTGTGAGGCTGCAGGCCTCAGGAGAAAAACTCATTCTTTGTCTTTTTATAGAACTGTAGCGGTTGATAAATCTGTTGTCAACACTCACCAGACAGGAAGTGGTCTCCTCTTTATACGTTTTATCTGCCCACCTTCTTCCTGTTTCACCCTCCGTTTGTTTGACACAAAGACAAAATGTGAAAAAGATTCTTCAGGCTTCAGTAATGTGCGGCCCTGGTTCTGAAATATAAACAAAAAGACAACAAACTGAACTTTTCTGCTGGACCACCATCACAGAACTCGGCCCGCTCTGCCTTGAATTACCTCGTTACCTGAGTGGGAGGCTCCGTGATGCCCCTCCCCCATCGGGCCGCGCTGAGGAGGTGTTGATGGACGGTGCTGCTCAGCTACGTCTGTTGATGAGGAGAAACCTGTTTTTCTGGGAGGTTCTGATGGTCCAATGAACACAGAACTGGGTTGAATCGTTGACATCTGTTAGATAAAAACACTGAAATTCTTAAATTATTTCTCTGAACATCAGACAATTACTTTTATTTGTGAACATTTTTTACAGTTCCCAACATTGAAGCTGTTTTTATCTTTCAGCTTATCTTTTGGTACTTTTAAGTGGGAGTTTTGCTACTTTTTGCTTTTAGGTACCCATTGTTAATTTTAGCTAGCCATTTCCCACTTTTAGCTGGTATTTTGCTAGCTTTCATTTTTGGCTCTGGTTTGCTGCTTTTAGCTCATAGCTGGCTTTCTCATATTTTAGCTAACATTTTGTTGCATTTAGCTTCTAACTAAAAGCCTTTTAAAACATTTAGTCTATATGTAGCCATTAGCTACTTTTAGCTTCTTGCTAGCCTTTTAATACTTTTTTGTAGCTAGTGTCTTGCTGCGTTTGGCTTCTAACTAGCCTTTTGAAACATTTAGGCTATCGCTAGCTATTAGCTACTTTTAGCTTCTAGCTAGCCTTTTAATACTTTTTTTTAGCTGGTGTTTTGCTGTTTTTGGCTTCTGGCTAGCCGTTTGACACATTTAGTCCAAAGTTAGGCTTTTGAGACTTTTAGTTGATGTTTTACTAACTTTCTTTTTTGGCTGGTGTTTGCTACTTTTATCTAGCCTTTTGCTACTTTTAGCCTTTAGCTACTCTTTTGGTAAATGTATCTAGCGTTTTACTGCATTTGGCTTCTAGTTAGACTTGACACATTTTGCCTATAGCTAGGCATTTTCTTCCTTTTAATTGATTTTTTGCTACGTGTTGTGGATGACTCTCAGCTACCTCCACCCCGATCCTTAACTCAGTATCTGTCAAACTGAACCACCTTGAACTCGGTTGACTCCTAAATTAAAACAATATTTAGCTGTAAATCTAAAACTGATTCAGAGTTTTATTAAAACCTGTTCCGTGTTCATTTACAGAACATCTCGTGAAGCAAACTGTTTGATTTGGAGGTTCAGGCTGGTCCTGGTTTGGTTCAGGGGATGAGGGGGGGCATATGGGGGCATCAACCCCCCCAAACCCAGACTTTGAAGTGTTAAATGGACCGGGGGACCTTGTCATTATGCTGAGCCTTTCATCAGACTCTGGAGGAGGGAGACACGAGGCAGTTCTGAGTTTTTCTGGAGGAAAAACACAATAAAAGAAAAATGTGGATCTTTTTAGCTTTGAGGACATGGGAAACATCGACAAAGAGCCGTTTCATCTCGCTCCTATCAGCACCACGGCTGTCATTAGTTTTCTTTTGTCGCCTCTTTGTTGGCTTTAAAACCGTCCCTTCGGCTTGGAGTGGAGTCGTTCCAGGGACTGGAGAGCTTCGGCTTTTCTTCTGAGGCCGCGGTCAACAGCAGCTTGGCTTCTGTCCAAACTATAACACATCACTGAGGAACAAACGTCCCTTTTAGAGAACCCAGAAAACAAAATGGAGCCGTTAAAACACATGATGGGAAAAGTTTAGCTCCTAAAAGTGAGGAGGCCTTTAATGAGGAAGTCGAGGTGCGTCAACACCTGAAACTAAAATCACCTGAAGGTTTTGTCTTCCTGAGAAGATCGAAGCTGAAGCTGGAATCGTTTCCTCTCAGATCCGTCCTTCACACCACATTTGGTTACAAAAAGAAAAAACAAAAATTTCTGACACGATTTTCCTTCTCAAATTATGAGCAGACGAGGTGAGAAGTTCCTCTCCAGGAATAATTATGACAGTTTGTGCTGAATTTGAAGCATCGGTTTGTTCTTTAGTTTTATTAAATTTTATTTGTTTGTAACAAAAAGATAAGACTTCATTAAAGGACGAGGATTCCCTGAAGGAATGCATATCACCCGCCACTCTTCACGACAGTTTTAGACCAACACCTTTATCCATCTGTGCTGTTGTGAAAGACTTGGATTAATTTTAGTTTTCACAAGTGCTCCCATGTTCCTGAGGTTCTGACCCACTTTGATCCAGATTGTAGCAGCTGCTAAACAAATCAATTATTAACACAAAAATCAATTTAATTGCTCCTGAACTTGTGGTTTATTATTAATTTATACAGACTCGTCTCCTGACTGCTTTTAGGGCTCTCTCTGCTGCTGGGACATCTGCCCGGGCCATACTGGACCTGCTGGGCCCAGGCAGGGCAGAACAGATGGGTGAATGGGTCCAGGCTCTCAGACGAGGAGGAGCGAGTTGATTGGTTGCTGGGATGACGGCTAACGTTTAGTAGCTTTAGTTTTTTTCTGTGCTTCAGTAGAGTAACGGGAACAACGGAGGAGCTCAGAGTGCTGTTTGTCCTGCTCACTCTTTTTAACAGGGAGCGACCCAACCTCGTCCTCGGCCCAAACCAACATTCATGTTGTCACCGTTTTAGATGCGACTGTTTTCATGCTGACTGAAGTGTCTGAACGTGTGCATGTGTAGTTAAGTATAAACCACAGCGCCAGCTAGTGGCCCAGCATGGAAGCTACAGCAGGTTCAAGGATCACGGTGTTGCCGTATAAACGTGTGTGTTGTTCGTGTTGAATCAATGCAAAACTACTGAACGTTTTGGAGACTCATTAAATTTTCCAGCTGGTCTCCAACCGCCTCAGCTCAGTGAGTGTTTTACTTGCAGCTCCACCGTGCAGTCGACAGTCAGTCTGTAGATTATAAAAATGCTGTTAGTAAAATAATAATCCAAGGCAGCTGGTGGGTTGGACTGAATATTAACTCGAGCCTCTTTTACAAAAACCTCAGGGAGAATTTACTTTTTTCTCTGAACGACACAGGCGTCCAGCTAAAGACTCCGTCCCCCCCCCCCCCCCCCCCCCCCGGGGTCTCTCCCCACCTTCAGCACCTGCAGGACTTGGTCTGGTTCTTTGTCTTCTTTGGGATTCCAGAGCTTCTGTAGTGAAGCTGCAGATTTTTGCTGACCACATCAAACAGACCGCCGCCGCCCAGGGCTCTGATGTGCAGGAGGGGGATGGGGGGTGGAGTCAGGTTACCTGTGTGTGACGACCAGGTGTGTCTGTTCATCCTTGGAGACAAAATCTGAGTTCGATAACAGATTTTATCCCGAGGTTGTTCACATTGGGTGTGGAAAAAAAACAAGAGACAGAACGTGTAGTTTCAGGTCCGTCAGACTCAGAACAGAGAAAAAAGTGTTTTAAAATCTGCAGCGACTTTCTTTAAATACTTGGACTCATGTACAAATCTCCCTCCCTACAGTGAGAGGACAGAAGAATTGCAGTTTGGTTTCATCGTGGCTCAACCAAGTCTGTAATCAAACCTCGTCTTTAACCGTCCTCCTCTTTGATAAAAGAACTAAAATGTCTTCTGATGTCTAATATTTAAACTTTATTCTTCTAATGATCTCGTTCAAAGCAAAAACCTAAACCGAGTAGGTGAAAGCAGCAGCTGAATACTGAGGTACCCGCTCCCTCCCCTCCCCTCCGTGGGTCAGGCAGGTGTGATCAGCTTTGTCTCACTGTCTCCTGAAGCTTCAGATGTCTCCTGGGCTCGTCTCAGTCTTATCTCCTCCTCACATGCTGGAAGTTTCTTGAGGGCTAGCCCGTTCAGACAGCCTCTGATCTGTGTCTTCTTTCTTGATGGCTTTTTGAAGGAAGGTTACATGCCCCCCCCCCCCCCCCCCCCCCCCCCCCGCCCCCCCACCCAAGCCCGCGCCCCCCACTGCTCCCCG